AAATCAGCATATTAGAATGATTTCTGAAGGATCACGTGACACTGAAGACTGGAGTAATGATGCTGAATATTCAGCTTTGCATCACAGGAATAAATTTACATTTTAAAACATATTATAACAGAAAACTGTTATTTTTTCAGTATTTTTAACAAATAAATGCAGCCTTGTCCAGTATAATAGTCTCCTTTCAAAAATATTACAAAATCTTACCAACCCCAAACTTTTGAGCAAAAGTGTATATCAGTTAAAAGTGAATTTTGTCAATATTTAGCAGTAAGAATTGCACAAAGATACCATAAAATCTAACACACATGGATTAACAGCCACAAAACTCTTGTATTTAAGTCCAGATACATACCAGTGGGCCACTGAATTTATCAATGCTTCATGTTTACCAGTCCAGCTTTTATTGTGAGCCGTATGACCAGCGAAGCTGATCAGGAACATTACGCCACAGGCTATGTACAGCTGATGTGCAATTCGTATGGGAGTTCACGATGTCGGAAAACCCAATTCTATTTGACATTACCAAGAGACGCTTTTGACAGCAGCCTCTGTGATGAATACACCCAGAGATGAAAACATAACCTCAGAACGCCGGAGTCTGTTCACACCTCTTGTTTTGTCCCATGCTAAGCCAGAGCAGGAAGTGAGCTCTGTAATCTCACCGCCTAACTTGTCGCTCAACAAGATAACGCCAAACGCCAAACGCTGTTTGTCACAAGTCTCATCCGTTCACGTCTCCCAGTCCCTGCAGTCAACAAAAGATTGTCTTTTTCCAATTTCAACAGGAGAATCACACAGATCTCTGGGAATGCTAACGCTACATGCTACGTAAACAGCACTGAGAGAGCTAAACTTCACCCCTTTTATCAGCAAACTCAAAAAAATTGTACATCTGTGAGCTTCTATGGGGGTTCTTGTACACATTTGACAAGTTTAAAATGAATATATTGTAAAACTAGACAAACAATAGCTGCATTATGACACAGAAGACTTGAGTAATGGCTGCTGGAAATTCAGCTTTGCCATTGCAGGAATAAATTACATGTTAAAATACATTAAAACAGAAAATATGTATTGGAAATTGTAATAATTTCACAACATTCACATCTCCCAGTTGTTGCAGTCAACAAAAGATTGCTCAATGGATTGTCTTTTACCAATTTCAACAAGAGAATCACACAGATCTCTGTGAATGCTAATGCTACATAAACGGTACAGAGAGAGCTAAACTTCACACCTTTCATCAGCAAACTCAAAAAATGTGTACATCTTCATGCTTCTCAGGGGTTCCTCTACACATTTGAGAGTTTTAAAATTAATATATTGTAAAACTAGCCACAAACTGTAGCTTTCTGAAGTAAATAGGCTAATGACCTGTAGGCTAAGTTGATGAAAATAAATTTTTAAGCATAAGTATTCTATGTAACAAGTCATAACTGATTATTATCTAATTTACTGCCAGTAAGCCACAAATATGAGTCTGAAGTAATCATAATCATATTATATTATCTAACAGTACTGAAAAACGGCTTGTGCTAATAGCATTTCATAATGAAAGCTCATAAACGTTTACTTTTTAAACACTTTTTTTCCTCCATGTTAAAATTCAATTCAAAACGGACACAGGGTTTCATAAAACATCAGACCCCTTGACCTACATTATGGATATTTCCTTTTGAAATTTCTAGTCTGTGATGAATTTGATGGAAGCAAATGTGACCTTTTCGCACATTGTCATTTCCATTTCAAAGGGTTTGCAACACCACTGTATTTATATCTATGCAATACTGCATTACCATATAAATGAAACTGACGAAAGTACCCATATTTAGAAGATGTCCAATCTTAAAGGTGAGTTCTGCCGCTTTCTAAGTGTGCGGTGGACTTTATAGAAGTGCATTTGTGAACTCTGTTGCTAAGCTTTCAGCTTTTGAACACACTAACAGTAAGAAATTGAATAAAACTAAAAGATTATTTATCTAAATACACAATGCATACATTAATGTTGCTTTCCGACTGCACCTACATCGTTTTCAATGTCGACAGACCTAGCGTCTGTGTTATTGAGGATGTGAGATCAGCGCTAAAGGCATCAAGTGCTCTCCCATGTACCTCAGACCTGTCACCAAGCAACAAGCTGCCCTGAAACTGTTAATAAAGGCCCCCCACACAGGAAGTAATACCCTAAAGGTGAATGTGCGCTTTGTTGAAGTGAAATCTAAATTTGTCACAGTAATTTGTGAAGGCTCATGGGAAAACGAACACTGAATGGGTTCAATTCGAGTATGGGATTGCATTGGTGCACGCGCTGTGACACTTAAAGAGACCGTTCACCCAAAAATGAAAATTAATTTACTCACCCTCATGTCATTCCAAACCTGTATGACAAACCTGTATTTCTTCAGCTAAGCAAAAAAGAAGATAGTTTGCAGAATGTGCCAACTGTTGTTGTCAATACAGTCAAAGTCAAAGGGTCCAAAACAACAACAAATTGAACCCTATTGATTTTCAATGCAGGGACAAAAATAAAATATATCTTTTGTTTTCCACAAAAGAAAGTCATACAGGTTTGGGAACAACGCAAGCATTAGTAAATTATCAAAGAAATTTACATTTTTAGTGAATTATCCTTTTAAGAGTTTAGAACTGTGATTATAACTATTTAGATTCAAATCTCAACCCCACTTCCGGAAATGTCTCTGTTTTACAGCATGTTCAAAACATAAAACATCAAAACCATCATCATGATTGTCACGAATCCGGTCCATGCACTTCCGTTCGCTCACGTTTATCACTGTGATAGCTGATAGCTACTTTACGGAGCCTGCTCTAGTTTGCATAGTCTAGTCATAGTCTTGCCTTGCCTGTTTTCCTGATTCTTGCCACGTATCTTGGATTAACCCGTTGCTTGCTGTTTCGGACTGTGTTTGCTCCTCGCCTGGACTTATGCTCACGTTTACGGATTACCCCTCTTGTCAAGCCCTCTGGATACTGTTCGCCGATCGAAGACCCATGCTAGCCCTAGGAATATTCTTTGACTTGCCTGTGATATACCTGTTTGCTGTTGTTCGGACCTGCCTGTGTTTTTGACTATGTTTATTAATAAAAGCTTGCACATGGATTCGCACGCCTCTCGTCTCGTCAGCTCCGTAACAATGATATCTGAATCTATATCTGTTTTGTTTTTGTTTTTTTGCGATTAAAAAGTCCGTTTTAAAAACTGACATGAAAAAAATAATTATGTAATAAAAATATATGAATAATTTTATTTCATACATTTATTTCATAATAAATAAAAATGAAATTCGTTTCAAAAACAGTCAACCAAAAATTGAGGGATTTATAAAATTATAAAAAATGTATTATGCCCCCTGATCCGCACATAAATTCTATATATAAACAAAAAGAATCAAAATAAAACTTAAAAGTACCACCTTTATACAAAATTCTTTAAACAATGCTCCTCAACAAACAACACTCACCATGATCAAGCAACAAATAATGAGCAAAAGTGCCGGTATTACAGCAGGAGGATGAGTAAATGACAGAATCTGATTTTTTTTTTTTGTAAATTATCCTTTTAAGAGCTTGGAAATGTCATTACACATCACCAACACACCAACACAGATCGAATTTTGACCTCACTTCCTCTATTCTTTTGTCCATAATTAACACAAAGTTCACAAAAAACAATCTTGTTATTGCACAGTTCCAGACTTGGAGCCTACAACTTCAGGAGATCATGTCTTTATCATCCACACGCTTGTTATGAGGTCACTGAAGGAATAAATCCTCGCTCAGATGAAAAGAGCGAGTCTCCTTTAACTCGCCGCCCACTGATCTACACCTCCATTCTCTGAGCATCCTCTCTAATACAGTTAGCATGCCTGATCAATAGTGCAGCATACAGAAGCTCCTGTATTGGTGATAAGAATGAGGCCACGCAACGGAGGAGACCCCGCTCTCTTGGTGAGGAAATCAAGTCACCCTCAGTTGTGAGGAAGCCGCGAGGAGAATCGATCATTCCCTGACTGTGAATAGAGTGTAGATAAGCCGGGGAGGAGAGCTCTTAAATAGGGATGGCCACAGAGTTGACCTCTGTATTGGTTTTACACATGTAAATACTATCTAGCTGGGAACAGCAAGGGAGATATGGCGATATCCGGTAGATTAAAACACGCTGGCATTTGTCTTTTTCATTTCACCACTCAATTCCAAGGGCAAAAAGGTGACTGCCTCAATGTGTTGGACAAGATGGTGCCTGAACTTTCAGACAGGAAGAAATAGCCTGCTTACAGATGCCTAGGGCAATCATAAAAAGAGAAAACAATCAATCAATCTATCTATCTATCTATCTATCTATCTATCTAGATAAAGACAAAAAAAATGAACGAACTCGTATCGAACCATGACCACAAAACTGAGGTACGTACCGAACCGTGACTTTCTGTGTAACGTTACACCTCTATTATGTGTATATTTTAATTACATATATTTATAATAATAATAAATGTTTACATAAATCAGTCAACCAATAAAAAATATACTGTGTTGACCAAACCATCAAAACAAGTATCGATCTTAAGATCAGACTCTGGATATAAAATATTACATTTTGTTTAATTTAGTCTGAGATATCCATTTTGGATGGATGGATGGATGGTGTACATAAATTCCATGAAACTGGATGTTCCTACCATAGAAGTAAATCAAATTTAAAGCACCACCTTCATACAAACATACAAATGTCTTCAAACAAATGTTCCGCGCTCGAGGTCCCTTACCAAGATCAAATAACACGGAATGAGCAAAGGTGCCAAAGGCACACCATGTATTCTTGCATTCAAAAACTGTGCAACAAAACAAAGCACAAAGATCTTATATTTTTTTCTAAATTCAATGTTTTGAAAGTAATAAATGTAGTCATTCGCACACTGAGCATGTGTGTGTGTGTGTGTGTGTGTGTGTGTGTGTACGTGTGTGTATATACATACTTGCCATTAATGACCCCGTCAGGGTTGAGCATGGGGATGATTTTGAAGATGTAGGCCCCCCTCAAACTCTCGGCTACAGGATCACTGCTGCACAGGAACTCCAGCGTGCCTTTCAGTACCCAGCTGGCATTGCTCTCTCCTGGATGAACCCTTGCTGTCAGCACCACACATGGCCGGTTACCTAAAAGAAACATGAACATGAGAAAAAAGGTTTTAATGTATAAACATATTGCTCAATCATACATTTATGTAGCTAATACCTGTAAAAGGTAACCTGTGGCATGAAGTGAGTAGCTTTTATTGTGGATTGCTCATGTTTTAAACAGGAGAAAGCCACCAAATCAGTGTGACACTTTGCTGTCACAACATTACACAGCAATTACTCCGTGTCAGATTTTCAGTCGACGTCTCCCTTGACTCGTTTCATCTGGACGGGAAAATTACATCACCTTGCTGAGCAAGTTTACAAAGCCAAAAGAAATGGACAAAGCTTATCAAAAACACATTAACATTTAATTTAGCTTGACTATTATGGCCCTGGCAAAAGACAGCAGACGGGGCGACTAATTTGTGTGATTCTGGTATTGATGATTTCATAATGAGTTACTGCATGGCCTCTGTTTATGCGCTCTTTCACTAGCTCCGTTTCATTTTCTGTATTTAACTGAATCTGAATACGTCCATGCAATTAGGCTGGAGTGATGATTTTTTATTTTCTTTTTTTGAGCTGTAAAATGAGATAATGCCATTATTACTGCCTTTTGCCATAATAACGAATGGCATACATTCGCCGTGAATAGCATGTGACCTACAATTTTGCATTCAGCTTAAGGGTCAATGAGAAATAAGGAGAGTCAAAGACGATGAAAAGAAAATTATTTTGAATTCTCTGCATTTATGTCAGTTTAATACCTTTTGTAATTTATTTTGTAAAAAAGAAAAACTTTTGTAATCATTTGTAAGAGAAGTTTTTAATGGCTGTAAAAATGTTCATTATTTATTTAGTTTTGTTTGTTTGCATGTTATTTTATGAATATCAAAGTTCATACAAAGTTATCTAATTTAACAGGCAATAAAAGGATGATTAAACTTTGACCTTCTTTTTTTTTTTATTACTTTAAGCCCCAATAAAAAAGTATTCAAATAAAAATGTTAAACATTTTTTGTACATGCAACACAATATAACATATTTTCTGTACTTTGCCACAATATATTATGGATTACAGATAGATATATATATATATACACATACACACACAAACTAATAAACAAAAGTTTCACAAAACACAAGATCCATACAAATATTCCATAAAAACAGATGCTTAATAAGAATACAAAAATAAACAAATAAAATTATAGATGAGATGTAATATTTATATATTTATTTATACAATATCATTTTATTTATAGATTATTATGATATAATTATATATTTTATATAACAAAAAATATAATTGATATTATTATACCCTCAAAAGATAATTAAAAGCCATTACTGTGTTAAATTAGAAAGAAATATCAAGTAGACATAACAAAAAATAGCTTTAGAAATAAATATTTTCATTTGAATCAACATAAAATGTATTACAAAAAAACAGTTTAGGCTACAACAGCCTAACATAACCTATGGAACACAAAAGAAGATAATTTGAGAAACATCTCAATATTTTTTGTTCATACAATGAACGTCATTGGTAACCAAATCAGCTTGGTTACAAACATTCTTCATTATTTTTGTTTATGTTCCATAAAAGAAAGTAAGTGATACAGGTTTGAAACGACATGAGGGTGAATGATGACAGAATTTTTATTTTTGGGTGAACTATCACTTTATTTATTATTATTATTATTATTATTATTATTATTATTATTATTATTATTATTATTATTGTTGGTTGTTTTTTTTATGAATGATATTCTAAATAAGAAACTAAAACTGCCAAGCAGGTGTCGGTAAATGGGGCGTTAATTACGTTAAAATATTTTAATTGCATTATTTTCCCTAACTAATTAATTAAATTAATGCGCTAAAATGACAGCCCTAATTTTTATATAATATATAAAATATAATTTATCTAGATAATGTGTCGCAATATTGACCCTTACACAACAACACATGTAAGTTTATTGTGGATCATGATGCAGTTTCAGTGCTGAAAATAACTATACCATTCCAAAACAATACTGAAAATGCAGGTATCCCTAACAAAAGTGTCCTAAAGATAAAATATGCTTGATAAATATCACATCAGCTTGGTGCACACGCTCACTTCCCCTCAAAAGGCGGCTGCTCCAGCTCTGCAAAAAAAAAAAACGAGATAATTTAAATTCTAATTCAAGTCGGAATCAGAGACTTGCGATGCGTTCGGCTGATCTGATGAAGTCCTGCCTGCAAACCCTCTGTCCTCTCCACTTAAACTCTCCCTCCATCTGTCCTTCATCTCTGCGTTCACACTCGCTCACTTGAATTCCTGCACATTAATTTGTCACTACCCCATTTTACCAGTAAAATAACGTTTTTTTGCAATAAACTACTGTGTTTCCTCCATTCTACATCCAACAGCAAACTGCACTGCACAAATAAGCTGAAGGAGCTATTTTTATCCGTCTGTGAAAAGCAACCTCCACATATCCATTCCATGTGTATTTCTGCCTGGCTCCCATTTACACGTTTACATCGGTAAAAGCCCAATAAAATATATGTTGTTTGCCACACATGCAAAGTGAGTGTACAAAGACGTGGGCGTGCTTCGTGAAGCTACGAGGGAATGGAGTCCTTCGTTAGATCTCTTTGCCGCTACCACACAAGTCAGTCTTCCCACGCTCCCAGTGGGAAGAGTACAGCCCAATCCTTTAAGAGCCGGGCTTTCACTCCGTGTACGGAGGAGTCTTTGGCACACAGTCGACTTCAACCCAAACAGTATACAGACAAAGAGCAAGAGAAGTGAAAACAGAAATTATAAAGGAAAGAGGAAGATGAGAGGGCAAAAAACCTCCTTTTTGTGCCTTTGTCTCTCCTGTTGCTTCGCGGCTATCTGAGCAAACTTACCTCCCACTGACAACGCCTAAAAACATGCTGGTTTATCTCTTTCCTATGTGTGTGCACGTACGTGCTTGCTTCTGAATGTGTGGTGTGTGTGTCAGGGTTTAAATAGCCAGGTTTATGTGCCTCTGTTGAACAGCCCTTAAGACGTTCAAAGGAAAGGCTTTTGAAAGTGGGGCTTATAATACTGCACATTATGAGGAGAAAAAATACAAGTTTCATGGGTTCCTTGGAGTATGAAATGTTTCCCAGTCCTTACATTTATAAGAAGGTGGGAGTGGCATTCTTAGATTTAGACACAGACCTAGACCTAAACTCCAGCACTTTGCTTGATTATCAACAGTAGCAAAGAAATTAACTAATATTACACACTTTAAAATGCACATAGACATAGACCTAGACCGTAGAATTAGGCTCTGACTTCGACCTTGACCCCAACTTAGACTACAACACAAATTAAGCGGGTAGTATTACACTAAGTTGTCTACATTATTTGCAGACCCAGACTGCAACACTTACCAAACTTGCTAGACTTAGATACTGACTTAGATCTAAACATAAACCTAGACTTATCAAACTGAGTTTTACACATTTTAAAACATCTGCAAGTATAAAACTAGACTTAGATCCAGACATAGACCCAGACAGACACCCAGATGTACTCTAGAACTAAACATAAACCCAGACTTAGATTTACAAATTCAAGTTAGTTTTAGGTCTGAAAATGTATAACCATATTTAGACCCAGACTTAGACCATGATTTATGAAATGAAGTTAGTTTTACACATTTTAAAAGGTCTGAAGATGTACAACCCGATTTAGACCCAGACTTAAACCATGATTTATGACATTAAGTTAGCTTTACACATTTTAAAACCTCTGCAGACATACCAGACTTAGACCCAGACTTACACCCTGATTTATACAATTTAGTTTTACACACTTTAAAACATCCGCAGACGACGTACAGCTAGATTTAGACCCAGATTTACACCCTGATTTATAAAATGTAGTTTTATGCAATTTAAAACGTCTGAAGACATACAACCAGATTTACACCCAGACTTAAGGCCCGTTCACACAAAGAACGATAACTATAAAGATAACTATATTAGCGTCCACACCAGCAGATGATATCGTCTGTTTATTCTAAATGAACACTCGTCTGCTGCTTTAAATTCTCGAGCTTGTTGTAGCAGGATTGATTATGATTGGCTGTCAATGTTTTTATCGTTAATCAGCTGGAGAAAAAATCATTCTGAAAGTGATTCTAACGATATCGTTTCTCTGTGCCTTTATCGTTATAGCTGCGGTGTGGACTCTGCTAATCTTAAATATTGAGAACGATTTTTAGAACTATATCTTTATTGTTATCTTTATAGTTATCATTGTTGGTGTGAACAGGCCTTTACACCCTGATTTATAAAATTAAGTTCATTTTACAGATTTCAGAATGTCTGGAGATGTACAACCAGATTTAGAATCAGATTTACACCCTGACTTATAAAATTAAGTTAGTTTTACACATTTTAAAATGTTTGCAGACATAAAACCAAACTTGGACCCAGACTTACACCGACTTATAAAATGAAGTTAGTTTTACACGTTTTAAAATGTCTGCAGATGTACAGCCAGACTTAAACCCATAGACTCCGACTTAACAATTAAGTTAAAAATGACTGCAGACAAAACCAGATCCAGACATAGATGCAGATGTAGAACTAGACATAGACCCATACTTATAAAACTAAGTTTCGCACATTTTAAAATGCTTGCAGATGCACAACCAGACTTAGAACCCAACATAGACACAAACAAAAATTAAGTTAGTTTTACGTTTAAATGTCTGCAAGCATAAAACCAAACTTAGACCCAGACTTACATCCTGACTTACAATATGTATTCAGTTTTACACCTTTTTAAATGTCTGCAGATGTGCAACCAGACTTAGACCCAAAGACATTACACACATTAAAATGTCTGCAGACCCAGACTTAAACTCAGCAGCTTAACTAATTAATTTAAGTGCTGCAGTGCCTAGTAAATTAAGTTGTGTGTAGTATTACACACTTTTAAAACACACACACACACACACACACACACACACACACACAGGGAGAAAAAGTCTCCGCCTCTT